TCCTTATTAGATTTCTAAAGTTGCAAAATATGTAACTTTTATTCTTGTTTGAATATTTCAGTCGAAATGGAACTTTTACAGCAACTCTTAGAACTAATAATTTAGTATGAGTATCCTGTTTCTACATCTAGCAAGCCCAAACCATCTGCTGTCTTTACAATGACGAAAGCGAATTTCCTACCTTAATATTCATTCGCACTTCTACCAATATCTATGAATTTGAGATAAGTATTTTCAAAACAAGGATTTTTAATACTGAGTAAAGCTATCCTAGATTAGCGATTATAAACCTAAATATACTCATTATCCTTGATACCTACTATAAAAACATCATTTCTAAGTTCATAACAGCAAAGCACATTTTTTTCGTAATAGTGAATTTTAGTATCAAATACAGGTAATATCCCAGAACTCTCAATATCAAATGAAATAAATCTCAACCCTCCATTTTAATCATCTATATCATTTAAAGCTAAGCACATTTCATTTGGATTAGTCTTAGAATTAATAATGTAATTAATATCACTAGATAATAACCAATTTTTATAAATAGATGTCTTCTCCTTAAGATCTATCATATCCAAATAACCTTACTTTTAAACAATCATAACATACTTTTATCCAAAGAAAGACATATGATTGATAAGAAACTACACTTATATCTCAGTTTGAATAGACAGAGTGCGATTTTTTTCGATTTTAATTATGATGAAAAAGTTTTGCTAAGCTAAATAAATTTCATCTTTCTAAATCAAAACTGCCCTAATTGTAGAATGGTGTTTAAGCTCAATTTGATTGATCTTATGGAAGTTTCTATCTAGTTGTTGGAGTAAAATCTTGTTGCTCTGGATGAAATAAGTATCTTCAAGTTTAAAAATTACATTAACTTTCCCTTTACCTCCAAGATTCATTATATTTATCTGAACTTTCTTTGTTTCCATATATGTATCTAATGGACTTAAACTAAGCTATTTCTCGAATTTTAAATGATTATCAGGCATTCCAAAGAAGGCATTGCATACATTCTCTATCTTAATACTTTTGATATTGTTAACTTATTCCAGCAAGTCATAGTCTAAACTCATTATTTTTAAGTCGCAAAGATCATTCCAGCATGAAACTGAATACTAAGAATAGTAATCGAAATATTGATTCAAAATTTAGTATGATGCTCCTGTCTTAAAGTTTAGTATACACAGTCCTTCAGTTGTTTTTACTAAGATATATGGAAAAACATTAATTTCAAAGCAGGGAATTACCTAGATATAGCAGAATTTGAATGTTTAAGTTGGACAGCTAATTGACTTTATCACCTGTTTTTTCTTCCTATCTACAATTTAAATACTAGGATTGTCTCTTAAACAGGCTACTACTTAATCTTAAACAGGCTCGCATATACATTCAACAGATTCATCTTTGAAGTACTAATCAGAGCTAATTCCATTATACCAGTTATAAAGGGAAGAACCTCCTTCAAATAAGCTGTAGTTACTTCCCTCAGTACACTAAATTTTTAGGAATTGCAAACCATAGTTCCCAGATTTGGAATAGTGAAGACCAAGGCCATATTCATCCTATCTTGATGCTTATATAACGTCACAGATCCATGATGAGTCTGTTTTATGATGAAATATGCTTTTTCTCGTAAATACATTAACTATTTGCAGATGCCCCTTGTTCATTGCAACCATCAAATCATTTTAATTCAATTTGAGGAACTTATATATCACATCATTAAGTTCAGTATAATGGGTCTAATGATTGTCTTTATTATAGAACATAATAAGCTTGTCAACTCCAAATACCACCTAGTTATCCATCTCAATAGCAGTTTTAATGCTGCCTTATATATTAATCTGCTTTTCTAGCATGAAGTTATGGTTGTAGATTTGAAGTTATTTACTTACTCCTCCGAGATATATATTTTACTTTGTAACTAATATCGTGTATAATATGTTCCTTTGCAGTTTAAGCTCATGATTTCTTACCTAAATATCTTACTTCCTGAGCTTGTTTTCCATATTGCCCAGTACCATTGTTTCTTAGTCAGTTCTAATTACTTAGAATTCAATTGTATTTATCTAAAATTGGAGGACCTCATATTCTAATATCTGTTCTATGGAAGGTCTTTAATTAGGATCAAATTTTAGCATTGATCTAATCATGGCTTAAAAATGCTTGGGGATATTTTTTGGGAAAGGAATGTTTTGATTTATAGCATCACTCAATCGAACAATTTGCCTGGTATACATGTAATAAAGAATTAGCCCTAAAGAGTAAATATCAACTTTGTTATTATAGGGTTTTTAATCAATTATCTCGGGTGCCATGTAACTTGGAGTTCCAACTTTACTTCTGGCAAAGACCAAGGAATTCATAAGAGTAAGTGAAAATCCAAAATCAGCAATTTTTATTAGGTCATTATCCATAATTAAGATATTTTCTGGCTTCAAATCGCGGTGAAGTTTCTTCTTTGAATGTAAATATCAGAGACCTAAGCATATTTGTGTAAAAATTGATATTATCTATGGCTATTTGAGCTCTCCTTGCTCCTCTATGTACTTTTGAAGAGTGCCCTTTTCTGCGAATTCAGTCACGATAAATAATCTTTGATAGTTATTTGTAAAAGCTTCCTCGAATTTAATAATAAATGGATCATCTAATCCTTGAAGAGTTTTCACTTCATCATAATCCTTCTCCTACACCTTATCCTTTATAGTTTTCATAGCAAAAATTTTCCCATCTTTTTGTCTTTTGACCTTATCTACTATAGCAAAGGCTCCGGAACCTATCTCAGCTAATCTGATGTAATCATGATCATCAGGAATCTCATATAAACTATCTCTGAGTGACTCCATCTAAATTAAATTAATTAATAAAGTTAACAATTCTGCAAGTTAAATTTATTGATAATCATTAAACACAGCACTGCGGGGTTTTGGGGTTTTGGGGTTTTGGGGAGATCGGAAGAG